TAATTACCTTCGCTTTGATAGTGATACGTTGAACGGACCGGTAGTGTATGTGTGGATTTGTTATCTGATTCCTGGCATGGGATGTCCTTAGTAGTATGTAGTTCAGTAACCGACACCCTACGTCAGGGGACATTGGAGGGTCATCAATAGACCATATTCGTCGGTCGTAGGGATTTCTAATATTTCTCCTTAGTCGTTCATGTGTATCGTGGTCTTCTTTGCGATCCATCTACAGCCACACAGGAAAACACTGTTAATTGGGCTAGTGATTTATGGGTTTTTTTTTTCATCACTTACAATGGTACTATGTGGTTGTAGGGTTTGGTTAGATATTTAATGAAACCGCCGAGTACATTTACAATTAAATGTTAGTAAGTCATATGTCGATTATTTCAATCAGAACATAGAACCCTTCCGCGGGTACGCACACATATTTAGAAAAAAAGCTGGGGAGTTAAGCGTACTTCATAGTAGTGGAAATGTCTGCTTTGTAAATATTTAACCGACAAGACTCTTTAGGATACATGAAGCAATCTGTGACGTTTGCAAACTCGTTATAAACTACGTAAACTAATCCTCTGCGATCCCGTACAATATTCTGAACCAATACTATATTCTCGCCGATCGTAATGCATCCATTTGCAACAGATGGTAGATAGAGATGTACGAGCTGATGGTAGATACAGAAGCAGAAAAGCGTTATTGTGAAGACTTACTGGCGAGGACAGGGCTTCCCTACCGACGAGATATACATTGCCGTTGATAGCGGACTTCTTTGGCTTTTGTGATGGCGGTCGCTGGGACATCGTGATATCTACAATCTCACAGGAAAAAAAGGAAGTTATTTATCGGGTAATGGGATCATGGACCATCCAGCTTTCGCCATGACCACTTCTATCCTTCAATGCTCGTGAACCACTCACTATGGGTACTGTGCGTTGTAGGGTTCAGAGCACTGTTCACAATTGATTACGTTTGTTTTCGTATATGAAAATAAACGTAAATCTGACTTGAAAAATGTGAGGACAACGAAAAGTTCGATATGGATATGTTTAAATAAAGACAGATGTTCTAACCATTCGAAAAACGGAAATTAGTCAGGACTTATCGACGTAGGTTTTAGCGGCGAGTTCCACATGCGAGGTCCTGAAAAATCGCATTACGCGAGAGGTTAGTAAATTGGCGAGAAAACGCTCGCCGTTGCGGCAGAATCATAGCTCGGCCCCACGGAAACTAACTGGACAATGTGCAAAAGTCAATCACACTTAGGAAGCGATTGTAAGACCGACAGGAGTGTCCTCAGAAGGATACGTCTTTGCACCCCATACGGGTCCTGGGACGTTATGCGACCTTACAAGAGGCCTGAATGGGCGCGAGGTTGGCCGAGGATACCTCGGACCTGTCAAGTTCAGAGCCCACACACACATGGGCCGTGGATACAGGAGGAAGTAAGTGCGCAGTATTAGTAATGGTTTGTTACCTAGGATTCCTCGCCGACTAACCTCCGACTCTGATGAGGAGATTGGCGATGTGGAGAACTTTCCTCCGCGGACTCTCACACCGCCGGCCAAAAGCTTGGTGGGCTGGCCCAAACCGAGTCAGTAAGCTCTTTTACGTAAAATTATTTCAGGATACGCTCTCCGTACATATCGCCGACTCCTGCGCCTGCGACACCAACAATGCCTCGCACGGATGAGTCGCGTCTAGCTACTATGGAGGCGCGTATCAATACACTAGAATGTCAACTCAACTCAATGTCATCTCGCCTCGACTCCATAGAGGTCCTTGTGAGGCAGAAATTTGAACTTCTTAGGCAACTCCTAGAGAAGATGAGGTAAAACCGCTCAATATGGCTCAGTATATTTACCTTAGAAAAGAGAATAATGATTTGAAGCAAATTTATCAACATGATTCAGATTGGAAACGGTAAGACTGGTCCTCTTCACCTTTTACACTTTCATTTAGTAAAAGAGAAGCAACGAAATCGGCTGACCGCAGCCTCATGCTGACGAAATTGGAGCAATTTTGAGCTGCTACTGCTGCTGACACCCGCCGCACATTGGTTGGCGATGAGGCGGCCACTGGGTCTCCCCTGCCTCTATGCACAGATTAGGTCTTCTGGTTATTCCTTAGACGCTTCGAAATAGAAGAGGCGTTGTTGCAGGATAGCGTATGATTATGTTCCGATTAATTTCGCACTTTTGCCATGCAGGCTAATTTATTCCTAATGGTTGGCAGCCGCAGCCCCAAGGAAATTATACGACATCTACTATCGCAGCCTCTTGGACCGCCACTATGCACCACTTTTACGTGGCAGGTATCCTCGCAAAAGGACAAGAAGTCCTTCATAGGAAGTACTTTGTGCAAAATTTTTACGGGTAGGTTGCAATCATTTTCATAACCCTCAGAGACCACATGGCGACACCCTGGGCGACACCCTGGGCTACACAACGTCAAACAGAACGTAATAAAGAAGACAAACATGGCTCTCGGGATAGCTATGGAGGTCTCCGAGGCAAAATAAAGAAGGCCGGTGCGGATAACGTTGGGAGCTTTCTCATTCTGTCGGACGACACTGTAATAACATTGTCATCCACTGTCACCGTAGTTCAAAGCGACCATGGGCAACGCGCCATTCTGTCAGCATTTATTGACGGTCGAAGAACGATGCGAAGAGACATTTATCCACTGAAGCGACAATTACTATGGCTCATTAAAGGCAACCAGAGGTTGCGCCGTCGCCTGCGTGGGGCGGAAGTTGCGGCCATTGGCACAGGACTGGCGGTCGGAGAAGTTCGGGCCGCTCTACCAAGCAATCCGGT